GGGGCAGTCACATGGACGCACACACACACACATACACCGAAACACAGTCACACAAAGAGTTAGTTAAAGTCATTGTAGTGTCATGGCTCTTTTGAACATTTTTGGTTCGATTAAAATTCATTTTTAGTAGTAATTCGATGTGGCGAGAGTGAGGGTGTTTGTGTGTCTCGTATTTGAAAATACAACAACAAAATCGAAAATCGAAAAATAGCTACAACAACATGACAAAATAATAGTTATTGAAAATTACCATATTTGTGCATATGTGCAAATAATTTTAGTAGAGATTTGTATTTTTTTCGGTTCAGTGGGAGCCACATTTTTGTTAGCTGAGACAGCAGCAGCAACATATATTGCCTGTAATAGTTACCATTTTTCAGTTAGCCTGGTGCAAATGACAAATGCAACATAGTGCGCGCTCAAGTTCAATTAAATATTGTCTGGCGCATTCTCGTTTCAATTGTGTAGGTTCTCATGGATGTCATGGTGTTTTCGAAACCGAAAATGCAAAATCAATTTTAATGTCATATTTAATTAAAAGAATAATCGATACAATGGAAAATTATCTCAACATTTATAGAGAGATATCACTTCAACATAAATGGAATACATTTTTTTTAAATCGAATTTTTGAATTAGATTTAATTTTTGTAGGCTTCATTTGGTAAATTTGATGTGAAACCCTGAACTACAATAACGATTATTTATAAACATTTTTTCTATGAAACATCATGTGTTAAGTCCGCACTATAGGGACTTGGGTGGTTGGCAGGTACAGTGCAAAGATCCTCCCGATAGAGTTAGTACGTCCAAGACGTACTCGTGAGCAAATACAAAAGAAAGAAATAAAACACAATAGTTTTATTAAAAGGTTGTCGACCAATGCCGATATGTATTTATTGTTGGTAAACGATATTACCTTAATGTACGATATTACCTTATGTACGGTGGCTTACAATTTAAGCCAAGGTGTTCACAATAAGATGTGTGGCCAGTAAGGCTACAATGAAAGTACTTTAAGTAATAATAACACAAAGATGCCTAAAGGTGGCGCAAACTCAAAAATGTAAACAAAAGGCCGTTGAAATCTGTCTGTCTCACATCTGTCAGCACCTCTTCAACACAGCCCTTCTAATTACTTGTCCCGATTCCCTTCACTGTGGGTTTTATGGCGATGTTCGGCTTATAATTTTAGACTATAAATCGATTCGAAGAAATACACAAAAATTAAGTTTTCGGCCCATTTCATCCCAAAATAATTATCTGATCATCACCGAAAATTATAGACGTTGTCTTTGACCATAACTGGAACCACATAGAAAATTTCAAACCGATCCTCGCTATTTTTCTGCTCTCTAGTGTGGTATTGGGTTACTAAATAATATCTGAATATATAAGCACCTGTAAATATTTAAGTGTAACTTACACATCCTAGTACATACGACAATATAATTGGTATCAATTTAAAGGTCAACCACACCGCTTGGATATACTATCAACTTCTCGGGTCTATGTCCCTCAGGAGTAAAGACATACGCTGTAGAATACAAATTTTGTCATTTTTCACACAAAAGTCAGCGTTCACTTGACCCGCTAAATATTGACCGATCCTTATCAAAACATGCATGCTTATTCTTTCCCCTTCTCCATGTAAAAATTCGTATTTGGTCCATATCCCCTAAATATTAACCGATCTTTACCAAAAACAATAGGGGACTTTATTGGCCTGAACCAATCCTACATGCGAAATTTCGTGAAGGTTGATCCATAACTGTGGCCTGTATCATGTTTACAAATTATAATGGATAGACGGACGGACGAACACACATGTCTAGATCGATTCTGCTAGTCGAGATATGACGATCGGTATACTTAAAGGTGGGTCTAGGATAAATATTTCGCGGCGTTACACACTCTTGGGGCTGCACAAAGCTATAATACCCTGACAACGTAGTTTTGTAGGATTTTTATAACCTACAACTGTCTTATAAGGGCACTATAGCTTTGTGTGGCCTCAAGAGTTTGTAACGCCCCGAGATATACTGGTCCTAGACAAAACTTTTAGCATATCTCTCGTCATATCTCGACCAGCTGCGTCAATCTAGACATGTGTGTCCGTTCTTCCATCCATCTGTCCATTATAGTTTAATATTTAGAAAATGAAATACACCCTTCACCACACTGTTGTACAGGTAGGAAACAAGATAGACCCATTTTTATACCATTCACCACACTGTGGTACAGGGTATTATGTCTTTGTGTATATGTTTGTAACACTGTTGATGTTAAATTGTATACAAAGTACAGCTCGCATTTATATTCCGGTTTGGAAGAAATTTGGCACAGCTCATTTGTTTGGGCCAAGGACGAACCATATTGAAATTTGGAAAAATAGGTTCAGATTTAGATATAGCTCCCATATATATTTTCGTCTAGATATATCTTTAGTTTTGCACGAAATTTTGCATAAAATACTGAATTGAGCCTAGAATGATGTCTGCCAAGTTTCGAGAAAATTGGTGCAGATTTAGATATAGCTCCCATATATATTTTCGTCCGATTTAATGTAAATGGTGCACCAATGTCCACATATAGCTTTCGATTTGCACGAAATTTAGCATAACGTACTGAATTGAGCCTAGAGTGATGTCTGCAAAGTTTCGTGAAAATCGATCGATTTAGATATAGCTCCCATATAGAGATTGTTCCGATTTCATGTAAATGGTGCACCAAAGTGCACATATATCGTCCGATTTAATGTAAATAATGTACCAAAGTTCTTATGTTGCATAGCGTACTGAATTTAATCCAGAATGACGTGTGCCAAGTTTTGTGAAAATCGGTTGAGATGTAGATATAGATCCCTTATATTATAGATTGATTTGAAAAAATATTAAAAAATAAGGAAGATCTTCACCCATTGGCTTTATCCTAGTTCATACGATAGCTATGCATGCACAGAGAAACGTGTACAAATTTGAAACCGAATGGGTTATTAGTTTTTGAGTTATCGTGCCCGCCATTCGCAAAAAAAAAAAATGTTTGGAGAAAAACGCGTTTAAAGTTTGAGAAGCCCTTCAGCCGTCACTTGATGCTGACACAATAAATCGGCTATATCTTCAGGAGTTATTGAGATTTTCATTAGCAATTTTGTAGGGGCATTCTTTAATTAATGTAGATTCGAATTATATCAACAAAAATTTTGACCCCGAGAATGGTGGGTCCCCTTAAGCAATTGACGCACCAATGAACCAATATCGGTCCATTTTTTCCTAATATTATTATCTGATCATCACCGAAAAATTATAGGCGTTGTCCTTGACCATACCTGGATCCTCATGGAAAATTTCAAAGCAATCAGCGCTATATTTTCGGGTTACTAAATTATATCTGAATACGTTAGCACCTGTAATGACAATGTAATTGGTATTAATTTGAAGGCCAAGCACTGCTCTTGGATATACTATCAACTTCTCGGGTCTATGTCTTATAGGGGTAAATATATACCCAATAGAGTACATATTTTGTCATTTTTCACACAGAAGCCCGGGGGCATTTGAACCGCTAAATATTGACCCATCTTTATCAAAACAGGCATGCTTATTTCTTGGCCTAATCCCCTTCTACATACGCGATGTTTGGGCCATAATTGCGGCCTCAGGAGCGACCAGGATAACCGACAAAAATTAAGTATTGGGGCTGCACCAAGCTATAATACCCTGACAACGAAGTTGTGTAGGGTATACAAATATTTTAAGGAAACGCAAAGAGTGGATTTAAAACATATTATTTTGATGAAACACCAAGCTAGGATTAACAAGTGAAAAAAGCGTTAAGTTCGGCCGGGCCGAACATTGGATACTCTTTGTTGTATATATTTGTCGTATATATTTGTAATTAATGGTAAGAAAATTTGCCAGCCAATGGGAAATCAAAATAACGAAAAATAGGTGCCATTGTATGAGAATATATCTGATCCCTTATCTATATTGGTAAATTTTAGTAAGAACGTTTCACCACCTAATAAAAACCCATGATTATACCAAAACATGGACAAGTATTAGTAATGCATTGTAGGAACATTTGACCCTCAATCAGAACCCAATGTATCAATTTAAAACCAATTATGTTGAAAATCGTGGCCAAAATACAAAATGATAAAGCGTCCTAAGAGTACACAAAATAAAGCCGATTCTTTTGAAAAACGTGCCCAAAGTCTCGGGCATTTCGGTGATTTTCGAAAAAAAATATTTTTTCGACATATGAGGGATACACCATAATTTTCCCCCATTTTCAGTATTTAAATCTTAGGAGTATTAGCAATGTAATTAAACTCTGATTTCGAACCTTTTGTGATGTTACATGCAGAATACTACAATGTACCCTCCATACTGCGGTCGATGATATTTTAAAAACCTAACCCCTCTTAACAACATCACACAACACCTGTTTCCATTGTATTTAAATGTTCCGCTTTAGAACAAGCTGTAACCTATTTGTAAAAATCACGTTTTTTCGATAGCATCGTGATCCATCTGTCGTATTTTTTTCTGTTTAATGTAAATCATTGAACAAAGTTCATTGTTATCGATTGTTTGGCGAGGGAAAAAATTTGCAAATTTGCATTTAATGTGGAATGTTGATGAGATTGAATGAAATTGAAAACACAAATGTTAAGTTAGGTCAAATGGAATGTTATGTGGAAAAAACATAAAATACATTAAAAATTGAACACCGGTTATAACGAACTATGTTAGTAGTGAACTGTTTTATCCGGTGCCAGTAACTTCGTACATAATTTTCATACAACTCACAACGTTTATAGGAATTAATTTTTGTGGCCCATACAGTGAATTTTCACATACATTTCAAAGTTTATATTAAGTTCGTTATAACCGTTTCCGACTGTAATATATGTTTATGTAATTGTTATTTATTTTATTTTTTATTTACTTTTTTAATTTTTTGTTTCAATAAAAATTGATTTTTTTTCAACTCACCTGTTTTCTTACACCTGGAAATATAACTAAGAATGCAACATAAAATGTTGCAAATAATACAGATACGGCTACTATCGATACATCGCCCGTTACGGGTGTACGATTTGAAAATGAATACAGTGTCGGACCACCATCGTCTCGAAATGCATCAAACCAACCCTTCATGCTTTGTAGACGTTATAATGCTGAAAATAGAAAAAAGAAAATGAAATTAAATTAATTTATTGGGTTAAAAAATATAAAAATAAATAAAAGTAAAAATAATCAACTATTAATCAAAAAGCATATCCGAAGGGCGTTAACTACATAATTCCTTACACAAAAACCCTGCACTTTAATTTTGTGTGATAATAAAAATCTGAATTAAAAATACCAACGGCCTGGTATATTTACCGATCATTAGTACATTTACAAAATCCATATACTTGTATAAAATGTCCCTTAAACATGCTAATAAGTATGGCTAGCAATACGACTAGAAAACAGAACAAGTGACAAAACGTTAAGTTCCGCCTGGCCGAACTTTGGATACCCTCCACCATACGTATATTGACTTATACGAAGCATACCAAAAAGTGAACCTATACCGATAATTCTACAAACCGGTTTAAGTAAACCATTATGTACACCAAATACAAATTTCAGCAACTTTTAATGAAAACCCCAAAGCGTTGATTGATACTAATAACGCATGGTAGAATATACAATCCTCAAACTTGAACAATTTAGATTACAAAGTTAGATTACATAGTGTAGGAATTGGCGAATATTTGGGGTTATAGTTATATGAGGGCTATGCCAAATTAATGACCGACATATGTCAATTTCGAACCCAATATTTTTGTTCTGTGTTTAAATTTTTTCCTTCAGGGTGAGATGCATAAATGCAGGCCGATATATTTCATTATCGTCAGGATCGAGTTTTTTATCGCGATTTCCTAAGAAAGCGGAATGATTACAACCGATGGCTATATCGTCTTAAAATTCCACAATTTGGGTGGAGGGTATAAAAATATTGGATGTACTAATTATAAACCGAAGATGCGCTATGTCGCCCCAAGTTAAGGTATAAACCCCGTATAACAGTACATCCAATTTTCGATATTTTTGAACGCTGTTAACCCTACCAAAAATTTGCAATATTGGTCCACATTCGTTATTTAGGAAATTTTTTACACGTCTTTCATCTGAATTGACCCTAATTTGGTATTTTAAGTTCTCATAATGTACCAGATCAGACCAAGAATTATCAATATGGGTCCACTTCTTTGAGTGTAACCTCATATAAAGGTATTTAAAAGGTAGTACGGGTAGTGACTATAATTTGGCATTCTGGGACCTTGATGTGTAGAGATCTTCTTAACAGAACATCCGAAGTCCGTATTTTAACCTATTCAAAGGTCGAGCATCATTTTTGCTATACTCAAGATTATAGCCCAATTTTCCAACCTGAGTGTCTGTATTTCGTTTTCTCCGGACAGGAATTTCGATGCCGAATGATGAAAATATGACCCTAATTCTTAGACGGGAAAAATAATTAAATTGCATCTATAAAAATATATTTAAAATCCTGCCAGGAAAAGGTCAAATAAAGTGGAATTGGTTTTATCATACAATCATCCGTGTGAAATGTGTGACGTAGCCTCTAGACCGACTAGAAAAACATTCAAAATGAACTTTGTGGTCCATTTCGCCCTTAAAATAACATTTGATCACCACCAAAAACTACAGAAGTTGTCCTTGGTCATAACCGGAACTTCATGTAATATTTCAAAGTGATCAGCGCTACAGTTCCGTCATCTAAAGGTCAACCGCTCCTCTTCGATATTAAGAGGGTCTAAGCGATGATTTTTAAAGTAAAAATTTAAAGATATTGAAAAAATTGAAATTTGGTAAAAAAACAGTAAGGAAAATCGTAAGGTCGGACGGGGACGACTATATGATACCCTTCAACACTATGGTATATATTATACAGGACCATTAACATGAAATTGGATGAACTCAAATATGTAATACTTATCTAAATGTGAATCGACTAAGATCAATCCATAAACATGTCATTCGTTTGTTACGCTATTCTTGCTAATTTTGTACGATCTGCCAAATTTCATGTCAATCTGAAAAACGTGAGGAGTTTAATGCACCATTTACTTAAAATCGGACGAAAATATATATGGAAGCTATATCCAAATATGAACCGATTTCTTGTCACTTGTCACAGGTTAGGTTATACTAATTTCAGTACGTTTTGTTCCTATCAGCCATATATTGGTTCCTTGGTGCGTCAATTACTTAAAATATATCAATAATATATAAGGGAGCTATATCTAAATCGGAACCGATTTTCATGAAACTTGACAAACATCACTCTTGGCTCAATTCAGTACGTCATGCCAAATTTCGTGCAAATTGAAAGATATATAGGGACTTTGGTGCACCATTTACATAACATCGGACAAAACTATATATGGGAGCTATATCTAAATCCGGACCGATTTTCACGAAACCTGACAAACATCACTCTAGGCTCAATTCAGTACGTCATGCCAAATTTCGCGCAAATCGAAAGATATATAGGGACTTTGGTGCACCATTTAAATAAAATCGGACGAAACTAAATATGGGAGCTATATCGAAATCTGAACCGATTTTCCCGAAACTCACCACACATCATTCTAGACTCATTCCGTACGGTGTGTCAAATTTCGTGCAAATCGAAAGCTATATAGCACTTTAGTGTTCCATTTACCTTAAATCGGACGAAAATATATATGGGAGCTATATCTAAATCTGAACCGATTTTTCCCAATTTCAATAGGGTTCGTCCTTGGGCCAAATAAATGAGCTGCGCCAAATTCATCAAATTTGAATCGAAACTGCGACCTGTACTTTGTTTACAATTTAACATGGTCAGCGGACGGGCGCACGGACAAGCATAAATCGACTCAGAAAGTGATTCTATGCATATTCTAAAATGGAACCATGGGTCTATCTCGATTATTTTTGCCTGTTACAAACATATGCACAAAGACATAATACCCTGTACCACAGTGTGGTGAAGGGTATAATCACACAGAAGTCTTGGACCATGTTAAACGATCACCATCAATACAGTTATATTCATTCGTTGGCAGGAATCCGACATTCTTCAAAAATTTCGTGATGATTGGTTCCTAAGTGTGGCCTGATATGATGCTTGTGTAATACTAAAATGATATTCGAACACCAATCGATTTAAATATAAGTTTGTATTCTAGGTGGTATTTCCTTAAGAATGTATATACAATAATTTTCCGATCGAACTTCAACGAAGTCTCATTTAACGATGTAGACTATAATCTACATTTATTTTAGTATATAAATTAATATATTTTATGCGTTTTTTTATTATCTTACTCATAAATATACTTTTAATTATTAAAACCAACACACACACATAATACACACATAAATACGCATGCAAATAATTCACACACACACACATGCATTTTTAATTCAATTAATTGATAAATATCACAATTGACTTGTATTGTGAGCTTAACAAAATTGTTCATAATATTCTAGGATGTGTTTTTTACTCCATCGATTTCATTATTAGCCACTATTGAAATGTTGCGCTTTTTTTGTTTCAATGCCTTTTTTAGTTCTCTGATTATTAATGATGTTTGCATTATCACAATTTTATGGTTCATTTATATCTATTCAAAACAAGCAATTAAACGATGTTGTTTCCACTATTAATGATATGAGCATGAGAACTGGAAAAAAGCTAAAATTCAATTAAATTAGATTTGCAAAGAACTGCAATAGATTTATTATCGAAATTTACATGGACTGTTCACTTTTTGTTCATTTCATGCTGGTTTGAATTCAATTCATTTTTGTTTTTTAATAATCACATGTTTGTTGTCAACGTAGTGAAATAAATGAATTGTTTTCGTGGCGCAATAAAATTATTAAAAATAATTAACCGGTTTGATTTTAACAATTCTTGTTGGTGGCAATGGATCCCCAAAATTGGGAGTATAAAGACCCTTGCCAAAGATAATTAGCAAAGAAGAAATAATTATTATATCATTTTTAGAAAAAAAGAAATACCGGAATTTTTTTGACTCTCACAAATGCAAAACGAAAAAAATCGTAAAGTATTCAGGTAACATAAGAATGGAATCGAATTTGGCAGACAAGCTGGAATTTTGGTTTTAAATAGACTATCTAATCGTTAATCTTGCACGCATATCAATATTCTTGTTCTGGATTGGTCTTACAGGTCAAATTTTTGAGACACAGAACAAAATTATTTTTTTTAATTTATTTAAAAATATATTTTAATAACAATAATGTACCAGTTGGTACTTGGTGTATTAAAAAATGTCTAGGTGAGCTGGATCAATCCAGTTATGTGTCCATCGTATAGATAGACAAAAGCGGGCTATCAAAAGAGACAACGATGTAGACATCGTTTGTAACACAGCGAAATATTCGCCAAATGGCGATGGTTGCTCTGCTTTAGCCTATTCTAGGTGATGGGAATGCCATCTATCATTGCGTAGAAGTAAGGCCTCCGCGAATTTTGGTCATTGGTTTGGATCTTTGCTTATTTTAGTGTTTCCATCTTCGTCTGGACGGTAGTATCTCCTGATATTTCTAGTTTGTATTATATTATAATTCAGGAGGTTTTGTGGCTGATTTTTTTATTCCAGCTAAGCAGATGATTGGTCTGCAGTAGCTTCTCTTAAGAGATGGCGCTGCCATCTATCCTTTCCTAGAAAAAAACAATTCCATTAATTTTTGTTCTGTTGTTGTGGTCATTGCTTATGTTATTGTTTCCATCTTCTTCTGGGTGACAATATCTTTCAACGCTCTTATTCTTTGTTATCATCATGATGGTCTGTCAGAAACAGTGACGTAAATGACATACATGTTCGACGTATAACACATAAGTCAGAAACGTCGGAAACCTACCCAAATCCATTAGGTTTTTGACAAAATCGCTATTTCCATTAATCAATTTGGAAATTTACTCAAATCCATAAAAAAAATGAAAATTTTCTTCTCAAAAAAATTTAGAAAATTTAATCAGTTCTAGCACGGAATATTCAGATATATGTAAAAATAATATATATTCTTGAAAATAACTTTATATGCTGATAATATTGAAATAA